GGATAGTGAAATTCGCTGACCAAAATTGTGATAAATTACCCATCCAAGAGCATTTCAAAAGATTATTTCTGTAATTATACTATTTTTGTAATTTGGATTTTTATTTAAAATTTTTATTTTAAAAGGTAAAAAATTAAATTAAATTTATTCAAATTAAGCAAAAAATATATAGTTTACAACAAAAATTCATAGATAAAAAAACCTCTACTACTTAATGGTACTAATTTTGTAGTCTAATGTAATTTTAACAGTAAAATTATAAAAATCCTGATAAATGACTCATGTATTCATTGGATGGGTGTTTCACTTCACCCATCCCACCGGGATTGAAATCCCCTTGACCCCCTTCCCTATCCCCCAATTCCCGCTGTACTAAACAAAAAAAAAAAGAGTAAAATTGTAATATTAAATTTTGAGACTTTAAAATGTTGGTGTGAATGCCTAGTAAAATAAAAAAACACACACACTACGGAAAGAAGTCAATGGGTTGAAATGTAGCTTACAAGCTTCCTTTTAGTTATTTTATACACTAGGTATTCCGAAATTCAAGTGTTTCTTCGTTATGGTAGCCGCCATCTAGGACAACAGATATATTTTTTTTTTTGACCAGGTAGATGGTTAGGAAGTTAGTAGAGTTAGTTTGTTAGCAGTTGAAATTTTTTCAGGAAAGTGAACGTTTCACTCCTCATTCGAGGCTCGCGACCATTAGGTTGCAAGTTGGTAGAATTCACGGCGGTGGCAGAGTTCGAAGTCCTGACCTCCGCCTCACCCAAGTCCTAAAGTTTGGGGGCTAACCAATTGTGCCACGGGCCCGGTTGACAGGACCACAGGTATTAATTTTGTAGTCCAAAGGTAATTCTAACAGTAAAATTGTAATATTATATTGGGAGACTTTAAAAATGTGGGTGTGAATGCCTAGTTAAAAAAAAGAACAAAAGAAAAACTGGTGGAAGTCAATGGGTTGAAAACAAGCCCGCTTTTTAGTCATACTTTGCACGGACGATCAACGATGCTAGAAAAATAAATTTTTTATATTATTTTTTAATATAATTTTTATATATCATTA